ACGGTGACATATTGATATTCACATACACTAGTGCCCACTATGATAAAAGTGTGTGCTACCAAAAGTGTGTGCTACCAAAAGTCTATTCGTTTACACAGCAATGTATCAATACTACTAAAACATAATCATTTTTTATCTACTTACAAGTACTCTACCTCAAAACATTATTTATTTAATTTTATGTTCTATTATATATAACAAACTTAGTTATTATTAAATAACAACATAATATTAATATAATATTTAAATATATTCAAAATAAGATATCAAAAAGATACTCTTAACTACTTTTTCAGATTACATTTTAACAATATCTTTAATATATTTTTATTTTTAAAATAAATATTTATTGTTTTAATATTATTTTAATAATAAAAACATAAATAATATTAAATTAAATTAAATTATAAATGAGTATTAACTCATTTTGATTTATAGAATAAGAACTAACTTTCTATAACATTTATATATAAATATTTCATATTTGTACCTAAAATTAACACAAAATAATAATTATAATATAAATTAATCAACTTTATAAATTATAAACTAGATGAATTACATTTACAAAATAACAAAATACTACCATAAGATATTAAAAAATGGAATAATTTTATATTTTAATATACATATCTAAATTAAAACATTAGGATATAAAAAATTAACATTTAATTATATGTAACTGATACACAAAATAATAATAATAATTGTTTTTAAACCTCCACCAATGCATAATAATATAATTATCATAGATAAAGTCTTAAAATCGTTTATATATATAGATTTTTTTTATAGAATAAATATTAATAATAGCTACTATTAATACTTAATTATATGATGAAACATGTTATTACTGATATTTTTATCATTATAATTTTACGGGTTATTCTAATAAACAGACAAAATATTTATCAAATAAAAAATTAATTTAACAAAATATAAAACATAATATAAGTTATGCTTGGGAATTCAAATACCTATTGGGATACGGGTCGAATATTTTGAATCGAAGCTAATATATATCACATTATAGGTGTCATAATATGTAAGTAGACATATTTGTAAGTATGGATCAGATTCAAATATAACACGCCGGGTTTGGTTCTAATTTGTACACATCCTAAAACCGTTAGAGTAACCATATATCGTTCGGATTCGGGTTATATTGGTTTGGCAATCTAAAATCTAAAACCAAAACAAAAGAAAGATACTTATTTTTATAGAATTGGATATTAAAGTACTTAGTTAAAATTTAGATAGTTAATTTTAAATATCATTTTAAAATAAATATAGAACTGAATATTTAAACTAGATATTTATGTTTCAAATATTTATATTTATGATTAATTTGGACATTCAGATCGATTCAAATTTTATTCGTTGGGGTCTAGTTAATAACACTTTGATTTGGATATTTTGTACCATCCTATAAAACTCATTCTGATATATTTTGTACCACCATGCATTGGTGTTTCATGGTTTCTTAATGAATTGATGAATTTTTTGCCGTAATTTCTGTAATCAATTGTTTCGTTTTCAGTAATTACCCTAATAATAGTGGTTTTTAAGTTTTTCTCTCTCAATATTCCATCAAATATAGAATGAATGAAATACAAATTTATCCATTAAAATAATATGTTCCTTTTGGAATTTTTGATTTGATTAGGTAATTGATAAATCACGAAATTTGGCAATTAAAATCTTGATTTCCGCATTTTATTTCACAAAACATTTTCTTCCTCAAATATCGTGTTTCAACATTGTTAGACCATGATTAATCCTAGCCTCTTAACTGAGATTCTTAGCTTCAGCTAAAAAATGGTTCTTAGTTTTTCTTAGATTTTAATTGATAAAATCTAAAAATCGTCTCTTAAATAAGAAATATAAGAGTCGTTTCTTAGCTAAAAAATAGTTCTTAATTTTTTTTTAGATTTTAATTAAGAAAAACTAAAAACCGTCTCTTAAATCAGAGATATAAGAGACGTTTATTAGCTAAAAAATAGTTCTTAAAAAAAAAATATTAAATCATAAGTTAAAAATCCCGATTAAAAGATCGGGGTTAATCATGCTCTTAATGCTCTAGACCCCATTAGATAATTCAACAATCATCATTAGTTTGTAGAAAAATGTATGTACTATTTATTTCCATGAAAAAAGCCAAACACCGTCCACGTTAAAAGAGCCAAAAAATTAAAGGCTCTTTGTTTTCTCTGGTTTAACACTCACGTGAATATATGCAGTGAAAAAGATATTTTTTAACAATAAGAAAAGTAAAACAGGACAAATATAAACTTTAATAAATTAATTTTAGTTAATGTCATGTTAAAAAAGGGGGAAATTAGTTAATTTAATAACAATGCCCTACATCAAAAGTGAAAAAAGATACGGAGACACACAAGTCGCATGAAGTAACATCCCATGTTGTCGTCTCTACTACGTCAGATACCTGCTTTAGAAAAAGACCAGAGACTGCGAAAAGGTAAGAAAGTTTTAAAAAAATTTGCAGACCGCAACGGTCTATTTTTTTACAGAGAGCAATCAACTTGCGTGATAAATTACCCAAACACCCTTCAGTTACTGCATTAAAACGTGAAAATAGAAAAATGAAAAAAAAAATGAATACTAAAAAAATTTTGATCAGATTTATTCTTTGCAAAATTTAATTTTATAACATATATAAATTTTATATATTATTAATTAAAAAAATATTATTATGAACTCTAATTCAGATTGTTAATTGTTAATCATATACTCTAAAACTTTCATATATATTTTTTGTTAGTAGCCAAAATTAAAAATATTTTTAATGATATATTTGTTTAAAATTGTTAGGGAGAAAAATCAGTAATTGTTTATCAGTAATCTTTAAACCGTGTAACCGTAATATATAGTTTTCATCGGAAATAATTATTAAAGTTAATCATTAAGTTTCACTTTGTTATATATTTAGAATAGAGTTATCCATTATATTACATTTCATATGGAATGTATAACACTAATAAAGCTTTAGAGTTTAAGGTTTCATTATATAAGAACACTTCCACTAAGAATTCTGAATTCTTAAGAATATTTAGAATGGGTTCTCCACAAAATATTGTACTCCACAACTATATATACATTTGTATTTTAAGAACTTTAATTGGTAAAACCTCACTGGAGTTGCTCTAAACTATTAGTATTTGGTATGGTTTAAATAAGTTTTGACGGTAGTGTGTTTGCATTTGAATGTATTAAAAACTGTTGTGATGATCGTATTCATATACAGTTTAAAATTTATATATGAGTACATCGTGAAATGTAATGGACATAAATAATCTATGTGAAGAGATAATATATCTGTTAAAAGACAACTATATGATTGTCAAAAGTACTTTAAACTTATTAGCAAAAACATGTATTAACAAATTGTTATTTTTTTTTTGAAGACTTTACATATATATCACGAAAGATTGATTAGGAAATAATGAATTAAAACACAGCTGGATGTCCATACAAGAAATGTTTTTCCATGGGTGTTATGGAAAATCTGAAAAGCAAGAAATAATTTTATTTTTCAAGACAGAGATATTGAGCCTTCTTTTATTGCTAAGAAACCCTATGAAAAGGAATCAACATGGTTTGATACATTCACCGAAAAAGTGATTGGCGATGATGTTTCTCCAGCAACGATTCGATGGAGAATACCCCCATGATTTCTTGAAATGTAATGTTGGATCTTCATGGTTCAGTACGCAATGCCTTAGTGGTGCTTCTTGGATCCTACGAGATGAGAATAGATGTACAATCATGCATAGTCATCGTGCTTATTCTTATATGCGCACAAAAATGGAGGCTGATCTATGGTCTCTTTTCTGGGCAGTGGAATGCATCCACAATTTGCATTTCTCGAATGTTATTTTTGAGACTTCTTCCGACGACCTCCATGACGGATTCGTTAATCCCAATGACCTTTTCAACCTCAGCCATGTCCGCACAATATCTCCTTTCTGCTGTCCAGGATTGTTCACTGGAGTCTAGATCACGCACTCCTAGAACGGAATGAAGCTGCTGACGCTATTGCAATAAGTGTCACTCGCGATCACCGCCACCAGTCTTACATCGCCAGCCATGCTCCCATATGGTTACATCACCTGCTCGCTTTGGATGCTCAGCTATTAACGGTTGGGTGAAGTTCCATCTCTTTTTATTTTGATGTCTACTGACATCCCCTTTTATCTCTTATAATTCTCTATTATTTTGTACTGTCTTGAATACTTTTATGTATCAGTGTTATAAAAAAAAGACAGTAGCAATCTTATAAATATTTTGAAAAATTAAAAGAATGTTAAAAAATGTATTTCAATTTTAATAATATATAGATTTGAAAAGAGGAAAACAATACTATAATCATTGATAAAAAAAAGCAATAGTAATTAATTAGTTGTCATTGCTATTAATTTTTATGGTCAAAGGTAAGACCAACCCGTCTTTAGTATCTTCGGAGGCTAATAAAAAATGAAAACTGGGATTTTAAAACACCGCAACCGCCGTTTCAAGGTCCTATAAAGAGACTCTGTATCCTTCAGAGCCTCACTCTTTACTTACTTACTTACATACTTACATGTGCTCTGCATCTTTCTCTCTTTATCTTCATCTTCTTTGTCACTCTTCTCTCTCACTCTGCACAAGACTTTCTTTTCTCTGCAATTTTTTTTTCCTAGGAATATTGCTTAACCTTAATATTCATCCCCAAACAAGAAAAAAGCATCTCCCTCCTTTGCTTAATTACCAAACTCTGATTCCATAAGCATCTACCCAAAAGCTCTTTTCTTCAACTTTCCCGGGAAAATCTTGCTTTTTTCCTCATCTCCTCTCTTGTTACAGAGCATCAATCTTGCTTCTTTATTCTTTGTCTCCCTCACTTTTTTATCTTTACTTTCCCAGCTCTCTCACACATACATATAAACACACAACACAAAGAACACTTATTATTATACAGTAACAGTTTTCAACAAAGAGATGGAGACAAAAAAGAATGTTGCCAAACTCTCAGAGCACAACATCATGAGCGTAACTACAGTAACTCAACCAAGAATCTTGCGAATCTCTGTGAGTGATCCTTACGCTACAGATTCCTCCAGCGACGAAGAAGAAGATTTTGCAGATATCTCTAACAAACGACGTCGTGTCAAGAAGTACGTTAACGAAGTGGTTCTTGAGTCTACCATCTCCGACAAAGACAGGCCAAAGAAGAAGAAGAGACCGAACACGAAGCCGACGACACTCGAGACTGCTGTTTCTGCTCCGGCGAGAAAGTACCGGGGAGTCAGACAACGGCCGTGGGGGAAATGGGCGGCGGAGATTAGAGATCCGAGTAGACGTGTACGGCTCTGGTTAGGCACTTACGATACGGCGGAGGAAGCCGCCATTGTTTACGACAACGCAGCTATACAACTACGTGGCCCAAACGCGCTCACTAACTTCTCTCCTCCTCCTCCGGCGACGAAGAACGGCGAAGAAGCTTCGAAGGAGATGGACGGAGTCTCGGATATAACCACAAGCGGCGGTGGAGAATGTCTCGGTTCTCCCGTTTCTGTTCTCCAAACTCCCTTCTCCGGCGAGTCTACGGCGGCGGTTGAGGTGAAAGAAGAGTTTCCCGGCGTATCGACGGCGGCGGTAGAGGTGAAAGAGGAGCCGTCAGAACCAGTTTTAGATACTTTCACGGATTTCTCTTCGCCGTTGTTCCTAGACGACGACGTTTTTGGTTTCCCGACGTCGATGCCTGACTGTTTCGGAGATGATTTTTTTGCGGATATGAGTTTCGGGTTCGGGTCTGGATTCTCCAACTGGCACGTGGAGGACCATTTTCAAGATATTGGGGATCTTTTCGGGTCGGATCCTCTTTTAACTGTTTAGCACATTATGAAAAAAAAGTAACCGGCCGTTAATCGGCACTCGGCAAGTTTTGTTACTGGCGTGAGATAAAACAATTATCGTAAAGAATTTGATCCAAAAAAAAAAGAATTTGTTTTATACAAGAATTATATGCGAGAAAAGGATTTGTTATATATGATTCAAATTTAAATTTAATTAGTATAGTAACGGTGAATCTTACGTTGAATAACGTCTGTATCTTAACGGTGTGGATGCACGCACGCGCGAGTTTCTCTGTGCATATCCCTTTTCTTTTTTTCTTTTGTTCTTTTGGTCGCGTCACGTGTGGCCTCACGTGACTGGAATAAACGAAAAGCTTCTGTAATTTTGTTAGTAAGGTTAAATAATTGTTCCATTCGGAGAAATTATGTATAGAGAAGTGATTAAATTACACGTGAGGGGAATCGAATCTCCGCAAGTGTCAAAGAAATGACTTTACCACTTATTTTAAAACTTTAACTAAAGAGATCCATAAACTAAACTCTAACATGTGTTGGGAAAACTTCTACAAAATATAGTAGCACATTTCTAACTCTCTTTATTCCTTTCCATTTTAGGTCTATATACATGTGACATGTCTTATTTATAACTTTTTCTTAAAGAAAAAATTCATAAAAGAACTGAAGGCATGATAGAGATGGTTTATGATGAGAAACTCATTTTCTACTACATTATGGGTGGGAGCCATAGCAGTGACAGGTCTGGAGTCGAGTATAAGAACAGAAGCAGAGGCACTTCATTGGGCAGTTAAGTTAATGGCAAGGTTTAGGTATGATGAGATCATCTTTGAATCTTACCCCTTGTCGTTGGTAAAGATGATGAACAGAGTAAAAGAGGTTTAGTCGATGTTGTTACGAGTTATATAAGCGACTCATCAAGTCCTGCCACAAATCTCGATTGTAGAAGTGAGGTACTATCCAAGAGGAGGTAATAAAGCAGCTAATATAGGATATCAAAGGAGACTATTACATTTGTGTCTAATGTCCCTAAGTTATATTTTTGCCAAAGTAATTAAAATTTCAAGTAGTGGCTGATAAAATGTTGTATAGTGAACAAATTGGTTAATTGAAGTTATGTTGAGTTTTTTTTTTTTTTTTTTAAAGGAACAAGTTAACCACATAAATTACCGAGTATGATGTGGCAATTAGAATGTTTAAATTGGTCAAACATGGGTCAAACAAGAGATGTGTAGACTTGTAGAGGATGAGTAGGATAATAGGTCTCATGTAGTATTCAAGTGTTCAATAAATACACTACTAGATAGATAGAGTGTACATATATTATCCCACTTGCAAATTTATTGAACGTCTTCACTCTTCACGTTCATCTCTCGTGCCATTCATGCATTTGACCTTTTTCCATTTTTTTTACCTTCATATTATGGTTTTTTCTTAATATATCTCTATAATATTATTTGAGAAATCACTTTCTTAGGTGTCGCGCTCACGTTAACTCTCACGCTGGTTGATTACTATGATACCCCTAATGAATTAAAAATACAATTAAATATTATTTTCTTTTTAAAAATTTCCAAATAACAATATAAAATAAAAATGAAACATTTATAAAATTTACAAAACTATTTAAAAACGAAAACATAAGTATATATAATATGGTTTAATAAAAAAAGGAAAAATCACAAAATAGTAATAATTAATTTAAATAACATAAAATATACCTTTGAAGTAATAAAATACTTTATATATATATCTTCTTAGATAAAAAAAACGATATCTGTATATAATGAGATTTCATAAAAAAATTATTTTTGTATATATCTATCTGTTTTGTTAGATGATTACATAAAATAATCAACTAACATAAACTGATATATGTTTAACTGACATTTTTTTATAATTAGTATTATTGAAATTATTTTTTTAGTATATTTATTTGACTATAATATCTTACAATTACAGTAAAAATATAAATTCTATTTTACTTATATAGTATAATTTCTTAAAAACAATCACTTTTTACTGACTATTTTAAGAGATACTAAAAATAAAACTAAAAATAAATTTAATGATAAACATCTTTTGATAAAGTAACTACAATAATTTTAAAATATCATAACACTATATAATTTAACAAGGTAGATATATTATATNAATTACAGTAAAAATATAAATTCTATTTTACTTATATAGTATAATTTCTTAAAAACAATCACTTTTTACTGACTATTTTAAGAGATACTAAAAATAAAACTAAAAATAAATTTAATGATAAACATCTTTTGATAAAGTAACTACAATAATTTTAAAATATCATAACACTATATAATTTAACAAGGTAGATATATTATATTTTATTAGTTAAAATTATATGTTCTAAGAATAAGGATTCTGATTTACTTAAGTATTCTGATTTACTGACATTTTTTTATAATTAGTATTATTGAAATTATTTTTTTAGTATATTTATTTGACTATAATATCTTAAAATTACAGTAAAAATATAAATTCTATTTTACTTATATAGTATAATTTCTTAAAAACAATCACTTTTTACTGACTATTTTAAGAGATACTAAAAATAAAACTAAAAATAAATTTAATGATAAACATCTTTTGATAAAGTAACTACAATAATTTTAAAATATCATAACACTATATAATTTAACNTTGACTATAATATCTTAAAATTACAGTAAAAATATAAATTCTATTTTACTTATATAGTATAATTTCTTAAAAACAATCACTTTTTACTGACTATTTTAAGAGATACTAAAAATAAAACTAAAAATAAATTTAATGATAAACATCTTTTGATAAAGTAACTACAATAATTTTAAAATATCATAACACTATATAATTTAACGAGGTAGATATATTATATTTTATTAGTTAAAATTATATGTTCTAAGAATAAGGATTCTGATTTACTTAAGTATTTTGATTATGGTTATATTAAGTTTCACAAACATAAAAACAGAAAATAACTACAATTATTTTAAAATACCATAACACTATATAATTTAACAAGGTAGATGTATTATATTTTAATAGTTAAAATTATCTTTTTTCTTAATAATCTTTTGATTTTTAATTTTTTGTTTTTATGTTTGTGAAACTTAATAAAACCATAGTCAAATACTTAAGCAAATCAGAATCCTTATTTTTAAAATTATTTAAAATAAATTTCAGTTTACCATCCAAACAATCTAAAGCATAAATTTATTTAGAATTTATAAAATATTTTAACTATTGTAAATATTGATATGTGTTCAAAATCTTCTAAAAATTCATTAGTTACTTATGTATGTAATTTAGAATCAGAAACTTTAGTTTTTATTTTTTTTCCTTCTAAGCACAAAAAAATCTTAAGTTATATATAATCTTACTAAATATACTTATATTTCTAAGATAACAACCATCATAAATGCAAATAAGACAATTAATCAAAAAATTAATATTTTAAAATATAAAAGATAATAGTTGAATTCAGATAAATAGATAGAATCCAATATATCTAAATGATAACTAAATTGACCGTAAAAACAATAAAACATACTAAATATAACATATCTAAAAATTATATATATAATTAAAGTAATATAATATTATAATATAAATTAGACATACAAACTATAAATTAATTTAAAAATTAAAGTAAATATCAATCAGTTATTATTGTATATTTATTTTATAAATATACATGCCCGTGCATGGGCACGGGAAAATCACCTAGTATTATAAATTTGAAAAACCTGTTAACGAGGCTACAATTTAGATTATAGAATCCATTCAACCAAAAGCTTATCTAGAATCAAATATCATTAACGAGCTTCGCATCAACAACCTAAACCGACACATTCCGTTAATCAATTCAAAATCTCTAAATAACCGATTCACGTTTTCAACCATTGTTGCTAAATTCAGGGAATGGTGGATTCCACCTTATTTCTTGGGGATGTTGAAATTCTCGAGACGACGTCGACGCCTAAGGTAGCTGGGTGATCTCCTCAAAGCCTATAACTCCCATCGTCAATAAACGCAAGACGACCAATTACAGACAATCATACCTTAAGTCGAACCACCGTACCAGAAACCTATACATCCTCACCAAAGGCGCCACATACAGACATGTACAAGCTACAAGGACATGAACCTCCTGCGAGCAGAAGGTAAGCGCTGGACCAAGCTGGACACATGCGTAGTCCGCATCGAACACTTGCAAGAAATCGGTTGACTCATTGATACTTCCTGACCAATAAGACTCTAAACCTGCACATAAAGTTCTATCTACACCACCTCACAAGATCAAGTGAGCTTGCAAGGTACTGGGATGTGAGCTATGACCAAGAGCGACCACCATGGCGATCAATGATTGCACTGCAGAACCGCCACACCTCTTGAGTCTTTGAGAACCAAAGAGTAATTTTCTGAGCCGTAAGGAATCAATCTCCAAGTCGAGGGAGACATAAATAACAATGATAACAAGAGGTACCACTTCGGAAAAAAATGCCGTCGCCTGTGCCCGAAGACTACCAGAGAGGAAAAAGCGTATAAGAGATGCAAAATGAAGAAGAACTAAGACAAGCCACCAAGGAGTCGTAGACGAGCGCCTATCGCGGAACCTACACGAACCTGGTAGAGCTTCGTACCATCCATCTGCATACAAGGACTCAAGATCCACCACCGTGTTAATGAGAACCACCAGACACTACAAGAAAATGTTGGTCTAGCGACTACATGTTACGACTACATACATGTAGTCGTAATTTACCATCTCATTTACGACTAAGTTACGTCTACAAAGGCATTAGTCGTAAAAGAGAGGTTAATTTGCTACCAATGAATTTAGTCGTACATTAGTCGTAACAGAACGACCAATGTACGACAGCGTGTTCGCGTAGACGTACATTAGTCGTTCAATTACGACTAATGTACGACCACTGGTGTTTGGGATTTCGGTTTAGGGTTTAAAGGCAAGTCGATGCTAATTGGTCGTAATCTACGACCAGATTACGACTAATTGGTGGACATAGATGCTAATTGGTCGTAAATCATTCGAAGTTAATTAGTCGTAACATAACCTATAAAAAGAGCCATCGTTTTCTCCAAAAGCCAAACAAATATTTTGAAATATTTGAAAAAGAAAATTGATAATTGAGTCGATAGATTTAAAAAATCTGAGAAAAAAAGAGAAAAAAGCTACTCGAATCACAACCCCGAAAAGATCAATGCGAGACATACGTTG